AATAATTTGTCAAGAGGTTCCGTTACCCAACAGGCAACGCTTAGCACAGAGTAGCCTTGCTGAAAATAAGGACCTAAAGCATAAACAGGTTGAGAGCCTAGCATTTTATCAATTTCAACTTTTTTATCATTAATTAGTGAGTACAGTTGTTCAATTTGAAAAAATGAATTAACTGAGATTCCTTGAAAGATTTTTGCATTCACTGATACAAAATCCGAGATTTTTATGCAATTAATATTATTACAGGCTATTGAATTTCTACCATTACTGATAGTGATATTAGGTTCTATTAATTTAATGTGATCCGGAATATTTATTTTTCCAAATCTATTATTATCTGGAATAACTTTTATATCGGGTAATTGTATGGATATCTTGTTATTAATAAATTTACTGTTATGAATTGTGTTGCTATTGGTATTATCACTACATGGGCTATACGTTATTGTAAATAAAAATTATTATTTCATTACACAGATGATAAAATATAAAATGAATCTTTGCAGCGATACTTACGGAGCAGTATAATCTGAATCATAAATATTTAATTTCATATGTTTAGCCAAAGCAATAGCAGGTTCATTTTTGTTTAATACAGCAAGTTTTAAATATCTTATTCCGGTTTCAGTATCTTTTTGGTATTTCAGTTTTCCATTTAAGAATATATCGGCAATATTATACATGGCAATAGGATGTCCATTATCGGCGGACATTTTCATATACTTGATAAATTCATCACGTTCCTTTTTTTCTTTTAACAATCCCAACTCTTCTAAGCAAAATGCGTAACGTATTTGTGCATCTGGAATACCGTAATCTGCTGTTAATTTAAAAAGTTCAATGGTCTTGTTTTTGTCTTCCTTGATGCATTCTTCAGATCTGTTATCAACGTGATAACCTTCCCATAAATAAATAGCTTTCCAATACATTGCAGTATAATCACCTCTTTCTGCATTAGTATCAAAGATTTTCCAGGCAATCTTTCTGTCTTCTGGTGTTCTTAATCTATGACGTCTAATTCCCTCTTCAACTGATAGAAGTTCTTCTACTTTTTCATTATTTTCTTCTTCATCTGACACACAAAGTTCCTTATTATCCAACAACAACGAATTTGATAGATTATCACAATCTATAGTTTTATTAGGCAAAAGGTAATTGGATATAACATATTTTGAGGCCATTTTTGAAAGCATTCGATATAATTCACTTAAGTGAGCTCTAAATTCTGGTTTATGTTGCCATGCTTTTTTTTTAAAAAAAAAAAAAATCCAATGAGTCAGCTAATAAATAAGTAAATACATATATTATAACTTACCCATTTCAATCATGGTTACAAATTCTTTATGAATTTCTTTATCTTTTTCATCTCCTTTACAAACCGGAATTTTTTCTCTATCACCACTTGTAACATAGGATACAATTTCATCCATGCCTTTATCAGCATATGGAACCCTTTCAAAACATAATTCCTAAAGAAGCATACCAAAACTTTAAACGATATTAAATTAAAATTTAATTATAAAGTAATAATATGGATATAGGATGATACAGAAGAGAAAAAAAACTTTTTATACCTAAAAATTTCGCATTTCATATTGTATGGTTGTCTGTAATTCTCATTATCATCACTCTCATGCACCATCTTTTCGGGAGCCAACCAATGAATGACCTTTAAAATATCAGGAAAATTCGAGGATTTAGCAACGAACCCTCTAGCAAATTTAAAATTTGCCAACTTTGACTCTAAACGATTAGTTATCTATCAATATGAATGTAACGGTAATAAGTATTCTAAAATGTATACGTATAATGAACAGTAATGTATATTTGGCCTATATTTTATTTTTTTTTATCAAACTTACCATAACATTTTCACATCTGATATCATGATGATAGATGTCAACAGAATGCAATACAATACCGCGACAAATATCAAGTGCTATAGATATTTTCATGGTCCATGGTATTTCACGGCTTTCATAGACTTCTTTTAAATTTCCAAATTCTGCCCATTCAAAAACTAAAACTTCGCGATTATCGATAGTTGATATTCCATAAAATTTTAGAACATTTGGACTTTCGCTTAATTTTTCTAACATTGCTAAATAACTTTTGTATTTTTGAGTATGCATTTTATCATGAATTTTACATACAACTTCTGTAAAATTCTTTAAATATATTCTTTTTATAACTCTAGGATGGTTAGGGCGTTGCTTAATTTCTGGTATTCGCAATTGACTTGGATCAATCCTTGGAACATTTGTTTCCCGTGACTGTTTCTCTATCTTAAATAGTTCAATTTTTTGAAAAATCTCGCTTAGTTTATCTTCGACTCTATTTTCAATTTTATTCATAAACTTTATGACGAGAATAATTAACAAATTAGGACGATTTTTTGAATAATTTAAAAACTTTATTAAATTAATACCTCATCATGTTCTAAACATTCGTGATCATATTTTAATTGTTCTTCTTGAGCAATTACCATAGTAAAGTGCAAATTTCTCATACATGTATCGTACTCATTAGCATTAAGATATTTTCTATAACCTTTAAGTTGAGTTATTTCACCAGCAAAATTCTTTATTTTTTCTAAAACATCTTTAAGCTTTACTAAATTATCGTAGTAAGCTTGTTTTCGAAAATTTTCTTCATTCTCTTTTATTCTTCTTGCTAATGTATCCATAGCTACTTCAGCTGATTTAGCACGATCAAGTAACGAATTACAAATTTTTTTATTATATTGCGCATTCTCATAAATAGTTACAAAATTTCTAATTAATGATGTAACTTCCGCTATCAAAAGAAAATAAGGTCCAGCCATTTCATAAACATTTAATGCTCCTTTATCTGATGTTGACATGATTATTATTTTTTCGAATTTGTAAGATATCACAAGTCGTTATCGCTATGTGTGAATTTTTACTGTTAAATAGGAAAGAGCAAGTTACACATTAGTGATACATAATAAGTAGCAGTTGCGCGAAACCAGGAACGGGAGGAATATGTCGTACATGTAGTTTAAAAACAAATTGAAATTGAGTTATGTCAGACCTGGAGGTGCAAAACATGATACATATAGTGATAGGAATTTAGTAGACTAAGTCGACTAAAATCAACTAATTGACTAAATTTTATTAGTTGACTAAAAATCAACTAAAAATAGAAAAAATAAATATATAGACCAGTGTTGTACATCATGTGTATGGGAATATTTCCGAGTTTTCGAATATTTCAGAACATAATTCTGATCCACATTAGCAGTAAGCTGCTATAATGCGGGCCAGGATTTCATAATATGGACCAAAATTCCATGCTTATGAAATTTGAAAAAATTCTAATTTGTAATATAGACTAATAATTAACCAACAGTTTTGATTGGTTGACTAATAAATTCTATTTACTTTATATATTATACAACTAGTTGACTAGTCATAAAATTAGTCAACTGACTAGTTAACCAAAAAATTTAGTCGGATCACTAATACCATAACTTGTTTCTAGTATTAAATCCAAGCAAAGATGTACCGCATATCACGCATAGTGTATGACAATGTAAATTTAATATTACTATTTCATAACAGACAACCATAAATACTGCATATTGTGATCAAATTCTTCTACTTTATTGTTTTTATCTTTTAAGTGTTAAAAAAAAACTTGAATGTAGATAAAATATTCTTTAAATATTTTCTAAAGTACTCTATTGGTATCTATCACAAATAAACGCCATCTTGATCTAGTCAAAACCTGTGGCGGTTTATTTATTTGAACTTATAAAATTTGTTATATAAATAACTATAAGTACGGAAATATCATACACTGTAAATATATATTTTAACCGCCAAGATATAAAACACCATCCCAGTCTAGCCAAAACTTGTGGCGGTTTATTTTTTTCATTGATGTAAAATCAAGCCTATTGAAGGTGTCTATTAAGTATTTTAACGTAATTGCATTACTTGGTTCAATTTCAGAATGCTTTATTAAAGTCTTCAAGAGTTTTATTATATATATTTACCGTAATAAGCTATTCTACAATTAACTAGAAAAACGGCGGCGTTTGGTGAGCTAGAGCCTAATTCTTAGACATTAATTATTAAAATTGGATTTAAAGCTTTAAATTGACTTTAACTTTTAGAATTACATTAATAAATTTATAAGGAAAGCAATCTTTGTTATAAACACATATTATGTTCCAATTTGTAATCTGTCAAAAGAAAAGGCAGTGTCGAAAAGAAGATCAGTTAGAGTACAAACTCTTGATACCTTGCAAATGTAAGACCTGTTGCAAATTCCTTATTTTCAAGATTTACAGTATTATAGTTTTTGGCCTTGTTACTTATGAATTGTAATTGCTCAAGCAAGGCATACTATTTGTCAAACAACTAAAGTATCAATTGTTGCTGGATCATAAAGTAACTTTGTAATAAATTCCTGAACATCTTAATCATATTTCTATATCCGAATTTCCCATCTTGAAGATTAAATAAAGTTAACATAAGAAGATCCGTGCAATTAATGTTTCCTCAACTTGGCTAAGCTAAGGTAACCTGGTTGGTACTTTAAAAATAAAATATTTATTTTAATATATATTAGTACTATATACTGTATATTTTATTACATACCTTCATTCTCCGGTGAAAACCTCTTTGAATCAAATTGTCTCTACTACATATATTGCAAGTGTCAGTTTGATTACTTAGTAACTTAAAGAAAACATTCTTTACGAATAAGACAATAGATATATTCAGGCTCCAGCATTATGAAATTTTTTAGAAGGCTATGATTGTGATCAGTAATGTTGATTCTAAAATAGAATTTATAACAATATATGTTCATGATTTGTGTTCTTTAATTGAAGTTTATGACGAGCTTGTTTGTCTCTTTTCTGACTTGTTTTTTATATGCTAATTGCTGCTCTTGAGGCATTGAACTTTTTGTCGTATTCTATCTTCATTTTTTTATTGCGATTTGCTCAGGTGTGTAAGTTCTTTTTTGCATTTTAAAATTTATCAAATTAAAAAAAACTTCCAATACAATAAAAATTTTCATAGTACTGTAAACTGCTGTATAAAAGACCCAGGTCTGTTACACACCACCAATATTAAAACCTAATATAAGGCCCAGGTTAGTAGATGGTGGAGAGTTTGTACTATTAGAAGGAAAAATTTAAGAAGCATGCATATTTTTCATTCATAGTGGGCTGCCTAGATATTTAAAAAAAACCCACATTTGGTTATTGAGATTCACACCCGGGAGAGGCTAGGGGTAGGAATGGGTTCGGTCGGTCACGATCAGTCATCTGTTAGTCATTAATAGTTAACCGCTCATAGCCGGTTGACTGCTATCAGTCATATGGTTAAATGACTAGTCATGGCTGACAAATTATTTAATCACTTATTCAATCAAATATCTAAATAAGTGACAAGTAGAGATGGGACACAGTACAGGCTGCCGAAAGAAAAACTAAACACAGTGATTTGCATCACATGATCAATAAAATCATCATTCATAATTCTGGTCAAACTTGCAGATCATTTGACCACATTTAAAGTTGTTTTTTTATAGATCTGGCCAAATGATCTGCAAATTTAACCAGAATTAGGCAGTTCGAAGTTGTTAACATTTCGCATGACCAATCAAAATTTAGAATTTTTAAAATTTTCCAAACTTCCAGTGAAGGTTTTTCAATAACTACTTATTCAAATTCAGTAAAATTGTTTTTATTTAAATCCAATAATTTTATAAAATCAAAATTAAAAAAATTTATTGAATTTAATTTAATGGTTATCAAGAAATCTTAAAAAAGAACAAGTTCAGGCAAAATTTTCTTTTTCTAAACTTTAAGCAAGAAAGTTTTTTTTATTTTAATTCTGAAGACTTGTAGAATTAAAATAAAAAAATTATTGGTAGTTGCCGAGGAAAGTTAAAAAAAAAACATTTAGCCACAGTTTTTTTTAAATTTGAACGAAGGTTACTCGATACCAACCTGACTCAATTCAACCAATTTTTTTTTATTTAATTATATAAACTTATAGAATTAAATAAAAAAAAAATTGATCAAATTTGATTAGGTAGGTACCAAGTAATCTTTGTTCAAAGTTTAGGTGACTACAAAGAAAAAAGCAGCAACCAATTGTTTTTAACTTTTAATGAATATTTCTCAACAACCAGCTATCCAAATTCAATCAAAAATTTTTATTTTAATTTTGTAAACTCAGAATTTAAACCATAAATTCATAACTATGGCCAAAATTGCAGATCATTTTACCAGATTTAAAATTGTTTTGTTCTAGATCTGGCTAAATGATCTGCAAATTTAACTAAAATTATAAACGATGGGTTTTTCTATTTATTTATTAGCCAGAAAATCAAAATCTGGCATTGGTTATAATTTTGACCAGTTAGTTAAACCTCTCTGACTGGTCAATATCGGTTATAGTCATTGACTGGTCATGACCGGTTATGACCTGACTGTGGCTATCTCTAGCTGGGAGGTCTTGTATACAGCAGCTTATAGTAATATGCAAATTTTGGTTATAGTATAATTACATATGACCCCATTAATATCAACTTCATTAATATCAACCTAAGCCAAAACCTAAATTTTTATGAATTTTTATATATCAAAATTCTCTCTTATACATCAACTTTAATATAAACCCTCATTAATATCACTATCAACATAATTTAAAACAGGTTCAAATGAGTTGATATTAATGAGGGTCACCTGTATATATTTTATGATATATTTTATGTTGGCATTTTAAAATTGAGAATTACTATTTGTACACTAGTGTGTACCAGTGTTAGATATCTAATGTTCTTAGTGTTCTCAAGAACATTAAAATATTTTTGAGAACACAATTTTTAAAAATTATGTTCTCATTTGAGAACATAAAATTTGTAAATTGTATTATATCTAAAAACTTTTGAGAACATTAAAAATCTTTCTGAGAACCTAAAATTTAAAATTTATGTTCTTAGAGAACAAAAAAAAAGTTTCAGATCTCTAATACTGGTGTGTACACACAAGGTATTGTTATTACTTAAAAGTTTACTTATAAAGCTACTTTGGGGTTCTAACAATAAATAATCTACACAAAATTTTAGTATAAAATATTTTCTAACCCTAACCCTAATATTAAGTGGGGTTTTTTATGAATTTATATATTGCGCAAGATTTGCAAATCAATTAATTAATATCCATGTTTATACACTAGTATAGCTTAGAAATTTTCTTTAAAATTATATAAATTTTTATTTATTTATTTATTTTTTAATATATAGTATTGTAATTTAATGAAGTAAATATAAGCTTTAAAAGTCTGTTACTTTATTTTGAACTAAG